GGGGGGGTGGGGCTATTTTTAATATTTGATCACTTTGCCATGGTGAAAAATGAAAAAAAAACATAATTTTCCAAAACAGAAATAAGAACTGTGTTTTTATTTTACATCTTCTCCTATTTTGCAAGCAATAAAGCGATGTAAGTTCAAATAATAGACGAACAATGAGGAATAGGGGAATAGGGTATATTGGTTCGATGGAGAGGGAAGGGGAGTTGGAGGGGGGGGGGTAGAAGAGAGAAGGGGGAGATTAGAGGGAATCAATTAAAAATTGAAAAGATGAGAACGGTACAAAAAGAATTATATTGCGTTAGAGTGCGTATCAAAGAATATGAAAAATGTTAATCGCAAATTCAGAAGGTTGGTTTAAACCCAGTTTTGAATTCTTTTCTTTTTTTTGTTCAATGTTTAAAAGTTTTGTGAGGGGGGGTGAAAGGGCTATTTATTGATCTATTTCTTGTTGCGTCTATGGCTCGTACCTTATCGAAGTTTAAGGGGAAAAAAAACCACACGGAACCATCGTCAAATTGTGTACTGGAGATTAATATGACTATCTTCCCCCCCATAAAAAAAACATAAATCTAGGGAAGAGTAGAGGTTTCGTGATTGTAACTGAAGAGGTTTTGTGATTAATTTGATTAATATTTTTTTTTTAAATTAATACTTAGGGTCGTATCTGGGTTGATGCAGTATTATTGATGAACACGGATTTCTAGAGCGAGTTGCATCTATACGATACATCCAGACGAATATAGAGATTGTATCACGGTTGATTGATACTTGAGAATACAGTACATCTGGATTGGTATAGTCGAGAACTTGATGGAGTAGGACATTTGCTACGAACATATAAAAAAGATATCTGCTATTTCAATATAAAGTAATTGAAACAGCAGATATCTTTTTTGAAGTCCTTCTCTTTTTACTTTTAATAAGCTTTAAATACAAATCTTCACTTACTAAGCTTTCGGTACTTACAGTAGTGATCTGCTGTACACTAACCTGCAGTACACTAACCTGCAGTACACTAACCTGCAGTAAACTACCCTGCAGTACAATAACCTGCAGTACATTAACCTTCAGTACACTAACCTGCAATACATTAACCTTCAATACATTAACCTTCAGTACACTAACCTGCAGTACACTAACCTGCAGTACACTAACCTGCAGTACACTAACCTGCAGTAAACTAACCTTCAGTACACTAACCTGCAGTACACTAACCTGCAGTACACTAACCTGCAGGAAACTAACCTTCAGTACACTAACAAAATGAATTGTGGGTTTTAATAGAGAGTGAGGACTGACTTAAATGTTTGATAAATTCTTTATTACTTCACAAAGCAACATTTTCCAATTCAACTGAAAAGATATTTTAAGATCTGCACATGTTCCTATTCAAAATCAGAGCTGCTAAAATGTGTGCAATAAACTAAACCCCGATTGAGCAAATATTACTCAAAAATATCGCAAGGGAGTTGAGTGGTGTTTCATGCAACATTTGCAAACTTTGAACATCTGCCCTTCCTCATTTACCCTCTCTAAACCTGGAAACATCCTTGTTTTTCAACAACATAATTGATTAATAATATTTTTCCTTTAAAAACTTCGACTTTGTTTTCTGAAAAATCTTTAAAAATCTGCTGTTTTGTGTAAACAATTGAATACTTTTAACGATTTTCTGAAATCCTGGACCTGTTAATATGAACAGCCAATCCTGTACACGTAAATCTTACTGGTTTTTATTATACCTCAACCTTTGAAGAGCCAGAGAAGAATTTTTTTGAATTTCTCATAAATTTGCTTTTCTCTTGCGTAAAATAAAAACTAGAGGAGGTCACAAAGTCGTACTAGCAATGTTGCATAAATTTGACTTTCACCCACTGCAGTCTAATTTGCAGTGTTTGCGTACTACCCCCCCCCTCCCCCTCCCCCTACCCTGAGTGTTTGAAATTGAGAAATGTAAACCTAACATCCAAAACACTGAAAAAGTAATAAAGGAATTGAGTCTTTGACACAAACTCTGATTTTCTAATCCTTATATCTCTGCAACCCGATGTCGTAGACCTTAGATATTTCAAACTATGAATTCTGTTACATAAAATTATCTTAGTTTGAAATATCAAAAGTCTACAACATCAGGTTCCATAGATATATGGATTAGAAAATTTAAGTTTGTGGCAAAGACTAAATCCTTTGCAAGCAATGTAAGTTCAATATTCACTTGTTTCTGTTTTTTTTCTATAAAACCCAACATAATTAGTTAAACAATATAGAAAACCATTAAATACTATTTCTAATAAACATGGCCCACCTCCCCCCCCCCCCCATTTAACCTTGCTTGTCTAAATACTTCCCCCTCCCCTCCCCTACCTCCCTAACGACGTCAGCCTAAAGCAATTACGTTCTTAAGTTTTTTTTTCTTAGCAGAAGTATGTTGATTCCCAAGCTAGTGACTTATATTTCTTTCATATATTGTAGTTTATTACAAATCCTACTTTTAAATCTTTAAAGGCAGTGTTCACAAAGTGTAAGGGGTATAGGCTGAACCGGAATCAAATTTGTATTAGATCGCTTCTAATTTTACTTTATTTACAACCAATTTCAACCATTTACTTCCTATAGACTAATAATGATCAAATCCAAATTTTATACGGATTCAGCCTATTCCCCATGTCATTTTTCGGGAACACTCCCTTTAAATAAATTTTCTGGCTTAAATTCAAATGATTTAAATGAAAAGTTTTCATTCGCAATAGAGACCCTTATTAATGATTAATGGCACAATGTATCTATGCTGGATACTGGTGATTTTTATTCAGTCGAACTAACTGAGTTGACAAAATCGGTTTGATTTATCTTTGCATTTTATGAAGCAGTTTATTTAAAATGTTTCTTATTAAATACTTTGCTCAGTAAAATTAAACGTTGAAAATTTTTTTGGTTCAATTTTCACAAATCTTTTCATCATTAAAAATTCGATATATTTAAATTAAATTAATTTGTAAAAACTGATTTGAGCTATCTATGTTCTCCAGCTGCAAAAGTTTTACATTTTTTGATTGTACATATCTTCCTAGAATATCTGTTTTAAACAATATTTGTATTAAACAAAAAAAGAAAATTTAAAACTTTTCTCTTATTATCACATTCATTTTTAAGAAGGGAATGATTGCTTATGGGGAAATGTCCCGTTTTACCGTCCTGGTGTCCGAATTTTACCGTCCCGTGGAGTCCGAATTTTACCGTCCCATGGAGTCCGAATTTACCGTCCTGGAGTACGAATTTACCGTCCTGGAGTCCGAATTTTACAGTCCTGGAATCCGAATTTTACGTCCTGGAGTCCGAATACTTTTTAGATTTGTCTAAAATGTCTGATTGCGTAAATATGCTTGGTTTATGTCTCCCAACAGATATGTGGTTTAACCAGGCAGAAAAAAAAGAAAAAAGTTACAAAAATTAACATTCTCTAATTCTTTTTATTTCAAAAAATTAACCATGCACAAATTCTGGACACATAAATCACTTTAAATTGTTATGTAACGGACATTCATTTAATCGCTTAAACAGTTTATTATTGTAAAGATATTTGTTTTTTTTGGGGCCACATTTTTTTTATGGATTCGTTTTTTACTTTTTTTTGTAATGATAAGCCATTGTATCCGCCACACAAATATACATTAGCTGCCAACAAATCTTACACTCTCTGGGAAGGTAAAAAAATACTCATTTTCACGTTTGAATATGCGAAGAAACTCGAAGTTCTTGCTATAAACCCAAAATTTTAATCCCAATTTCTTTGCAATATGATGGATTAATATTTCAAACTGAGACTATATAGTGGAACAGAATTCTTGAAATATTAAAGGTCTACGATATCGGGTTGCAAAGATATAGGGATTAACAAATTATAGTTTGTGGCAAGAACTCAGTTCCTTTCATTTTGAATAATCAAGATCAAAGTTGAATTCACAAACTATCTTCTCACTTTAAGGACCTGGGATTTGGGCTTTGAGAGAAATACTTAAACGCTCATCACAAAACAGGTTTTTTTTACTTTTTTAATATTTAAAAAACATTGAAGTAAAAAACGGCAAAATTTTAATTGCATTACACTTGCACAATGTTCATTTATAGGGAAAATCATTTTACGTTTACTTGTTCAAATTGTGCAAGTATAATGCATTTTTGGAGCAAAAATATTGAAAGTTTTAGTTTGAATCTGATTTGAATTATAAATTTTTTTTTTCTATTTTTGTATTTTTTTTATGAATTGTGATCAAAAATATTTACAGTTTTAGTTTGAATCTGATTTGATTAGAAATTTTTTTTGCATTTTTTTTTATTAATTGTCATGAAAAATGTTTCTTTGTAATTTTTAAACGCAACTTTCGTGTGCAGTGTTAATAATCTTTAATATGCTTAATGAAACGTGTTCTTAATTTTAATAAATTTAGAAGTTGTTTGAGCATAAATGAAAATCTTGTGAGTTCTCCTGGGTATCATCCAATACTCAACACAATAAGACTAGGAGCTGCAGGTATAATACAGGGTTATCCACAAAGGATCATAACTTCAATGACGACCTGAAACCATTTGAATCGGAGAAACTTGACCTGAAGGTTGATTTTCCTGAAATACAGGATGTCAACGGTATTCACGTCAAACTAAACTAAACTGCACAAAAAATTGTTATCTTAGATATATTTTATCATAATTTCTTTTATAGGAGAGCTATTGAGAAGAATAACATGTTTTTGAATTGCTAATATGTAACCGAGTAATTTTTATTCTTCTACTTGTGAGTAAAATCAGAACTAGAGAAGCAACGAGATCACAAAGTCATACGAATAATGTCAATTAAATGTGACCTTTCTTCTATGGTAATCCTGGTTTTCAACTGGATACCAGACTTGGAACAAAGGATTTAGTGACTATATTGACCTTTTTACGTGACATTGAATTATCTAGCCTTAATAATAGATTTTTCTTGACCTCTTCCTTTTTCTAAATTCTTATCAGACTTGCACGAACCTTGTCTACGATGATCATTTAAATGTTTCATGTTTTAAGATGTTGCTCCGCTTGATGTTGTTTATTCTTGGAACCGATTTCAATACCTTGACTACAGTTATCCCTCCAGCTACTCTGAGATGGTCATCATTTCTAAAAAGTAAAAAAGAGAATAATAGTCGAATATTTTTTTTACTCAGAAATTAATTATATAACTCTCTAATTTTTAATTTGACGCTATCCCTACAAAGGTTTTTCCCTCAGTCCACTAACAAAGTTTTATGTCTAGTTAAAAAATTGCTATAACCTAAAACGATAATTCTTCCATGAAACTTAAACATTTCTTAGAAAAATGAAAGCACTGAGATAATTTTTTCATTTTTGAGTTTTCAATTTTGGTTCTCTCACGTCGACAAATGTTTAGAATATTTGGCAAGCTCATATTTTCCGAGTATTGAGTTTTGGATATTTCGCGTTAAAAGATTGTAGGGTACACTGTGTGTAATTGAAATAGATAAAAATATTAAACAATCTCTTTAAATTCCTTCCTGATTAAGGACGACCTCCAGTATCTCAGGAAACATTCTCACTAGCGTTGCTGATCTTTACAGTAGTATTTTCTTCTTAATCATTCCCATCCTTCTCATTCTTCTCTCCTGTCTGGCAAACAAGGTAAATAAACATTGCGCCACAAAAAAAACAAAGAAATAACGGGAAATTTGACAATTTATGTTTATGATTGAGTTTGATAAAATTTGTCTACGTCATTTTTGGAGACAATGAAAAACAACTGATTTTGACAGATTATTATGAAAACTGTTAAAAAAGAAAAAAAATCTGATATTTTTACTATATTTTTTATTTCAATAAGTATAAAGCCTACCATTATGTAGTCGGCATAGATCTTTAAAAGCTTGAAATACATAGATACCTTCCAGATTATAATCTGGTTCAATGTTTGTAGATGACAGAATTATATTTTCTATTAATTTAGGGAGCAGAAATACAAAATATCTCAATGATTACAATTTTCTTAACAATATTCAGTATTCTCATAGGACAAGGGGTGTCTTCTAGGTTTCAGGTAAGAAAAAATTACTGCAATTTCAAGGACGATGATTTTTAGAAAAACTGAAAGGGTTTAAGATTTAAAATGGGGTGTACCTAAGACCTAAGATAAGAAATATCCATAAGCCAGATTTGTTGTTGTTGTGAAAATCATAGTTGCAAATTTCCATTTCAATTTATGACAAATTGAACGCAATTATATCGTGGTATTTAAAGAACTACAGATAGTTATCAAAGTCTCTTTGTGGGTAACCCGTAACCTTTCAGTCTCTAGAGTACTTTAAGTTATATCTAAACTCTAGAGTACTTAAAGTTATATCTAAACTCTAGAGTACTTAAAGTTATATAAACTCTAGAGTACTTAAAGTTATATATAAACTCTAGAGTACTTAAAGTTATATCTAAACTCTAGAGTACTATAAGTTATATCTAAACTCTAGAGTACTTAAAGTTAAATCTAAACTCTAGAGTACTTAAAGTTATATCTAAACTCTAGAGTACTTAAAGTTATATCTAAGCTCTAGAGTATTTAAAGTTAAATCTAAACTCTAGAGTACTTAAAGTTATATCTAAACTCTAGAGTACTTAAAGTTATATCTAAACTCTAGAGTATTTAAAGTTAAATCTAAACTCTAGAGTACTTAAAGTTATATCTGAACTTTAGAGTACTTTAAGTTATATCTAAACTCTAAAGTACTTAAAGTTATATCTAAACTCTAGAGTATTTAAAGTTATATCTAAACTTTAGAGTACTTAAAGTTAAATCTAAACTCTAGAGTACTTTAAGTTATATCTAAATGCTAAAAATGTTCTAGTTACCGTTGAAAAAATCTGGAAAATTCCTGGTGATTATCACAACTATCACTGGATTCTTCTTTACAACTCTGTAGGTTATCTTCATACAGTGGTAACCAGAAAACAATGGAATGATCATCTTAATTTTTTAAAAGTCTCAGGAATCGATTTATTTCTAAATATGTGTCATTCCTGAGTTGGAAACTTTTGTTGGATCTCGAGATTAAGCAGTGGCCATGCATCTTATAGCAAACTTAAACAGATTAACTTTATTCTTCTCCGATATCCCACGGTGGTCATGCCCTACATGGATAACTTAGATCAAATTGCTCCTCAAATTAACAATTGTCCACATTAAATATCGTGATCCATGAACCGTCAAGATCAAAGATCATCCACACAAACATTTCGATCTTTGAACATTTAAAAAATTTATCAGTTATCAAAACAAAATATTTCAAAATCATCATGATTTCTTAATCTAATAATCGAAAAAGACGACAATCATTACTTTCCTGGTTTTATGAATCGAGAGTTTTGGAAATAAGTAATTGACTTATAAAACATTATATTTTAGATATGGTAGTGTTATTATTTCCAATCTAATGGTGAAGGCTAAGAAACCAAATATCGATACTTTAGGCAAAAGAAGCATCAATTAAAAAACAAACTAAGACGACATTCAAACACAACTGTTACAGAAGTAAACCGTTAACCTTCAGTCTTATTATTTAAAAAAATACCGATGCTGATTTTTTTTAGAACAACTGCTAGGTTTTCATATTTTAAAAATTACAAATGTCAAAAAAACAAGAGATATTTCAAATTTTTTAAAACGCAACAATTTTTAATAGAGTGAGTTCGCCAAGAACTCTCAAAGGTTTTATCAAGGTCAATTTTGAATTTTTCAAAATTTTAGTTGTCACAAAGGATGTTATGTTTGAATTGGGGCAATTTAATCTGTTGAATTAAAAATATCAACTCAAGAATTTATTTCAAAACTGTGCTTTCTTTACCTTCTATAGAATTGATATATGAATTGGGCCTATATATTTCGTAGCATATATATAAATAAGTAACATTAACCCCATATCCAAAAATTCGAACCTATCCCTTGAGTAAAATAATCCATTTAAAAATTTCAAAAGAATATGATATAAAGGTACACATCACAGCATAATAATCAATAAAGGAAACTTTGTGGAGGATTTCTTTAACAACAGTTTGAACCCGAACCTAGCAGCATTGAAAGGTAGTAGTATGGATTCTACTTGTGCCTTGAAAAATTAAAATTAGATTTCAAAATTTATACTTTAAGCTTTTACTGAAGATCTTTAAGGATCCTACAACTTATATTTCTAGTGCTTGATCCTATCATCTAGTGCTACTTTAGCGATTACACCTATCAGTGCCATTTCCAGTGCTTGATCCTATCAGCTAGTGCTACTTCTAGTGCCTAAACCGATCAGTGCTATTACTAGCGCTTGATCCTATAAGTTCTATTTCAAGAGCTTGATCCCATCATTGCTATTTCTAGTTCTTGATCCTATCATTTCTATTTCTAGTGCTTGATCCTATCAGTGCTATTTCTAGTGCTTTATCCTATCTGTTATAGTTTGCAAAACGTCGGACTGTGGTTGAGTTTCAAAAAAAGCCCATTGCTATAAGAAATAAATTAAAAATCACTCACTTAATGTGATAAAAATCAAATCCAACTAAATAAAGTCTCAGTTTAAGGTTGAAAGTATTAACTAGGGTAATACCATTACCAGGTTGAAAAGATATAGGGATGATTATATTTGAATTAGTGGCAAGAACTCAATACATTTAGGTAGATAACAAAATCTTAAAATTCAAATAATTTTTTTCCTTAGTCCGACGTTTGTTCTGGTCTGACGTTTGTACCAGTCCGAAGTTTGTACCAGTCCGACGTTTGTACCAGTCCGAAGTTTGTACTAGTCCGACGTTTGTCCTGGTCCGACGTTTGTCTGCTAAGACTTACGTTTGTACCGTCCGACGTTATGACTAGTACCATTTTTAGTGCTTGATCCTATCAGTTCTATTTCTAGTGCTTGATGCTATCAGTTCTATTTCTAGTCCTTGATCCTATCAGTTCTATTTCTAGTTCTTGATCCTATCAGTTCGATTTCTAGTCCTTGATCCTATCGGTTCTATTTCTAGTGCTTGATCCTATCAGTTCTATTTCTAGTTCTTGATCCTATCAGTTCTATTTCTAGTGCTTGATCTTATCAGTTCTATTTCTAGAGCTTGATCCTATCAGTTCTATTTCTAGTGCTTGATCTTATCAGTTCTATTTATAGTGCTTGATCCTATCAGTTCTATTTATAGAGATTGATCCTATCAGTTCTATTTCTAGCGCTTGATCCTATCAGTTCTATTTCTAGTGCTTGATCCTATCAGTTCTATTTCTAGTGCTTGATCCTATCAGTTCTATTTTTAGAACTTGATCCTATCAGTTCTATTTATAGAGCTTGATCCTATTAGTTCTATTTCTAGAGCTTGATCCTATCAGTTCTATTTCTAGTCCTTGATCCTATCAGTTCTATTTCTAGTACTTGTTCCTATCAGTTCTATTTCTAGTGCTTGATCCTATCAGTTCTATTTCTAGTGCTTGATCCTATCAGTTCTATTTCTAGTGCTTGATCCTATCAGTTATATTTATAGAGTTTGATCTTACCAGTCCTATTTCTAGAGTTTGATCCTACCAGTCCTATTTCTAAAGCTTTATTTTAAATTCTAGTTCTTAATCCTACGAGTATATATATTCTTATTATATCTATCCATACAGATCGACTGGATATACGAGAACATCTTCCAGAAGCTGAGGATCACAAAGACAGGTTAGTCATCATAATTAAAATCTTGTTTAAAAAATATATATTAATCGACACACGTAACGTTTTTATATTTTTTCTTTTTTAAAGTTTTAAATGTTTATTTAGTAAAATGGAGAAAACAGAAAGTAATAAATATAGAATTACAAGGTTTAAAAGAAAATACATGGTGAAAACAGGCAATTGGTCTCGTTTTTTCGGGCATATTGAACAATTTTTTTTTCTCGCTACAATACTCAAAAATAGTGACAGGGAGTACTGCAGCAGAAGGAGGTTTACTTGATCCAGGAGAAAAGGGGCGTAATTTATGGAAAGAGTTTGATCTGCCCAGCTGAGGGATTGGAGATTCCAAGGTTGCTTTTTCGGACTTGGAGTGGTCTCCCCATTTTTTCCTGTATTGAATACAACACTTGGGGTTCCTAAAAATGGGGAACCTAAGTCAGAGGTTCCTTTTGCAGAGGATCCAGCACTAGTATTTTCTTTCGAAGATTTGGCTCCTGCTTTTCAGGAACCAGCACTGCAGAGTCCTCTGTTTTGAAAGGAAACCGCGCTAGAGGTTTAAGCTTGGTAGGAACCAACCCTTAGGGCTCCTGAACCTACTCTGGGAACTTCTGATCCTAAGGAATCAGCTTTGAGGGATCCTGATCCTTAGGCACCTTCTTTGTGGGCTCCTGATCCTAAGGAACCTGCTTTGAGGGCTCCTTCACCTGTGGACCCAACTCTGGGGACTTCTTCTGCAGAACCTGTGTTCGTACCTCCTACCCCTGAGGAATCTTCCCCATGGGTTCTAGTTCCAGGGAAACCCGCAGCAAGGTGTTCTTTTCAATCTTTTCTCCTTCTCCTCAGGTTTCTCTCCTGTGTTGTTGGTCTTTGGTTCTTTTGGTTCCATTCTGACACAGGATATGTGTAAGAGAGAAGAACTCCTGGCACCCCCTGAACCACAGCTTTAGTTTAACTCTCCATTGAGACCGGTGTGACAGCAGCGTTTGTATAAATCAAGAACTACAGCCGGCATAAGACATGTTGACAAGAGCAGAGTTAATGGCTTTTCAAAAATGTTAATTTTAGATCTGTAGCATAAATAATGAATTATTTGAAGAAAAACAAATGTACACACCGACTGGCCTTTCGACCGCTCTGTATCCTACCCTTTGCATTGAAAAAAAAATCACAAAAATCCTTTAAACCACTATTTCTTAAAAGTAAAAGAAATCTTAATGTTTTAGTTTCAAAACTGAGAGTGTTAAGGCAGAAAAACTTGAAAGTGGGAACCAAACGTCCCCTCCCCTCCGCCACAGCCTGTTTAGGGTTAATAATGTAACCGCCCCCTCCCCTCCGCCACAGCCTGTTTAGGGTTAATAATTTAACCGGCCCCCTCCCCTCCGCCACTGCCTGTTTAGGGTTAATAATTTATCCGCCCCCTCCCTCCGCCACAGCCGGTTTAGGGTTTATAATGTAACCTCCCCCTCCCCTCCGCTACAGCCTGTTTAGAGTTAATAATGTAACCGCCCCATCCCCTGCGCCACAGCCTGTTTAGGGTTAATAATTTAACTGCCCCATCCCCTGCACCACAGCCTGTCTAGGGTTAATAATGTAACCGCCCCCTCCCCTTCGCCACAGCCTGTTTAGGGTTAATAATGTATCCGTCCCCTCCCCTCCGCCACGGTCTGTTTAGGGCTAATAATGTAACGCATATTATAAAACAATATACAACTTAAAGGAACAATAAATCCCATTATAACTTATTGAGCAGAAGATATTTTTGCTATTTTGATTTTTTGAAAGGTAGCTGAAACTATTCGTCTAGTTTTAGTATTTTACTCTGCTTGGTAAACAATTAATGGATTATATTTTCAGGCAGAAGGCGATACTGGACGATATATTGTCCGACGATTATGTCCATGTGGACGATTTACCGAATTTTGGATTCCTCCTTAACTCTTTAGGTTTAGGAGTTACAAGACAGGAATCAAATCAAAAATATTATATTTACCATTTTTTTCTATTTGATATAAGCTGAACAAAAATACAGGGTTTTCCACTAAACATAATAATTTATGAATGTTTTGAAATTTCATTTTTATGGTTTCATTTGCAATACAAAAAATATTTTCAATCATAATTGTGATTTCAAAGCCAATGCATATTATGAATGAAAGGCCGTTATTTTCTGTATTTCCTTTTCTAAGTGAACTGTGCAATTGTCACAAACTCTTATTTCTTAACATAATAGCTTTTTTATCCGTCGTATAGAACTTTAATATTTCATTCTATGAATACTGCCAAAGTTTAAACTATCATACCTTCAAGTTGCAAAGATATTAGAAAATTTAAGATGTGAGAGAAGGTTTTATGTGTATAAACATTAAAAGATGAGAATAAATAACGAACCATTTAAATATTGTTATTCATAATATAATCTTTAGAAGACAGGACCTATATCCTATATATTTATTATCAGGTTTAGTAAAATCTTTTAGCAATTTTCATTGGCAAAGATGAAGAATAACAGTTGTCAATTGTAATGCTTTGAAAATGTTTTACTTAGAATGTTTGAAGTGCATTTTACAAAATATTAAAGATTTTCGTTAAATTTTTTTTAGCAAATTTCTGCATTCTCTATTTTAAAATTTCTGACATTGTAGCTTTAAGCAAAGGCTAAAAAACAAATGATTTCTTCGATCAAGATAAGAGTAAGGGGTTTCCAGTCCAGATTTTGACTTAGAATTAATAGCTAATCATTCAAAAATGATAAATAATACATTTCGGGATGTCTATATCGAAGAAACATTGTAAGTGGAATGGCTTTATACTGCATAAGTTATAAGTATTATATAGTCATATATATTTAACTGTCTCTGAAGTATTCGAACCCGTTCTTAAATATTTGTTTAACTCAGTAACCTCTCTCTAATCTGAGACTATGGATGAAACAATCTTGTGTTGTTCTTCAAGTCATGTTTATATTCTTATAAAATTAAATTTTATTTGACGGCTATCTAGAATTTTCATATTTCTACCTGGAGTGATAGTAAGCCCTCAGGCTGGATATTCCCTAAGGTGAAGATTTTTTTAAATGCTTTGTAAATGATTGAAAGGAGAGAGAGCTCCTCTCTATATTTAAGTTTTATTAGAAAATTGTTTGTTTAAATGGACTGTCGTTGCATTTTTTAGCTTAAAAAGTGTTTAATTCTGATATCTCCCTTCCATTGTTAATGCAAGAAAATTCTGTAGAGAAACCACAATTTAAAATAATGAATTGTTAAATGCTTCTCTTCTTCATTCTTGATCAAACAAAGCTTTAAAGAGAACCGTTGGGAATCAGACATTTTGTGTACAGTCCCTTTACCTTGAAAAGAAGTAGTTTAATGTTGTACAGTCCCTTTAACTTGTAAACAAGTAGTTTAATGTTGTACAGTCCCTTTAACTTGAAAACAAATAGTTTAATATTGTACAGTCCCTTTAACTTGAAAACAAGTAGTTTAATGTTGTACAGTCCCTTTAACTTGTAAAGAAGTAGTTTAATGTTGTACAGTCCCTTTAACTTGTAAAGAAGTAGTTTAATGTTGTACAGTCCCTTTAACTTGTAAAGAAGTAGTTTAATGTTGTACAGTCCCTTTAACTTGAAAAGAAGTAGTTTAATGTTGTACAGTCCCTTTAACTTGAAAACAAGTACTTTAATGTTGTACAGTCCCTTTAACTTGAAAACAAGTAGATTTATATTTACCAAATTTCAGAATCGAAGCATGGTTCAGGATGCTCAGGTGAGAAGGATAAACACAGGACTCCTTCGGCTCATGTCTACCGGGATACTGGAGTTTATGAGGAAAACTGTCTGGGACAGGGTCTACAGAGAGTTCCATACAGGTATTATATGTACATTGTACATCCCTATATATATACTTTGCTTTTGTGTCCGGGTGTTTTTTGTTTGTTTCTATCCGACACACGTCAAATCGGCTGAATCAAATCTACGGGGTTCAAATTTGTGTGGGACCTCACATGACCCCAGGGAAGGTGGATGCTCATAATCACAACACAAAATTATAAATCCGCAAAATTTTATTATTGTTTCATCAAAGAGAAAATCAGATGGTCCCTTTATAACCTTTATTAGCTTTGTCTCTGATCAAGTATGAATTAGAAATCAATGTTTATAATTCGGGAAAAAAAGTGACTTGCGCTATTCTACTGCAGGAAAACAAACATATAGAAATTGTCAAAATTAAACACTTTTAAGCCTAGAAAAATATCAATATCTTCCATATTATTTATCAGATTATAGTTTCAAGGGTATCGTTGCAAATCGGGTAATGCTTCGCGCCCTTTTTCAAGTAACAAGGTTGTTAAGCTTATTACTAGAACATAAAATAAATAAATAAAATGTATATTTATAAATAAATATGTAAACTTAATAAATTACAAAGATAAATTTTTCGCCAAAAAAAAATTATTTTTACACTTAATAACGAACGAGTCTTCTTGAGATGGGATTTTGTCTGCCAACTTTCTACCTTAGAAATGAATATATTTAATTATGTTTAATGTTTAAAGAAAAGACGATTTCTCGGCAGAAATAACTGTTCTTAAAGATATTCACAAGGGATCTGAAAATACCACAGAATAAAATTGCGACAAAGTAAAATATATCTTAATATGAAAAGTGGTAATCTCTGTTTGTCTATCTATCTGCGTGTCCGATCATAAACCCCCAGACCAAGTTGCTTCGAATTTAGCTCAAAGTACTTGATAGAACCAAGGGAACGTCTTATTCATGAGTTCTAAGTTTAATGGTTTGACATTTAAATAGAAAAATTTAATTCCAGCCAAAGCTAAGTTCCCGAGCTAGCTTACATATTTATAATACATGTCTAGGTTTGATAACTGAAAGGGTAGAGAAGAAATGTAGTGGATATTTGAAGGACAGATCTGTATCCATCAGGTTTATCTAAAATTATCATTTTTTGCAACGATTTTGGGCTGTATTAGAATATCCTCTTTTACATTGAAAGTTAAATATAAAGTTCTTGTATTTAAAAATAGCGCTTTTTGCCTTGTAATTTGAAACAGGTTTTCTCTCAGGCAACATGCTCTGATTTAGAAAATGTACAGGGTTTCTCAAAAGGATGAGACGGTAAAGACGAATTGAAACTCTTGAATATTGTGATCCCAAGTAACTTAAGTTTTCTACCATAGTATTTTCATGACTTTTTTAATAATAATTAAATAATTTTGCGTAGCATGAATAATGACACTAAATCAATAGTTATTTAGTAGATTCCAATTGACTGTGGAGTTATTGGGTTTAACATTCACTTTTTTATGTTGATACTGCTGCGTTCAACGTAGGGTTGTTATTCGTTTTTAAAAACGATAGTTTTTTTTCGTTTTTCAATCATTTTCAAAAGCGATCGTTTCGTTTTCGGAAAAACGATAGTTTTTAAAAACGACCCACTCGCTTTGAACTTTTAGAAAACGAATAACGATCATTTCTGAAAACGATTGTTTTAAAAAAAACGACCGCTTTTAAAAAACGACCATTTTTGAAAAAAAAAATTATCGACAATCATGTTTTTCGTCGTCGTTTTCATTTCAAAAAAATGAAAACATTAACATCCCAACTGCGTTCATAAAGATAAATATAAATTTTCATATTTATTTGAGCTCTCTGTATTGTACAGGGTTTCCCTCTTCATATTAGATAGTTTAGTTTATAGTTGTAAATTGTAAATTAAGGGAAAATTTTAAAAGAATAAATAATTTTTTTTTAAATGTTCAAGGCTTATATATTTTTTTTGCAGAAAATACCAGGTATTTTAGTATTATATCTGCGTATTTTGGCATTAAAGCTTGGAGATAATCCAATATGATAGAGCATAAAGTATATATTAGAGGGGAATTTAGAGAATCTCTCGGTATGATTTTTTTCAGTCCCTTTCAGCCTCAAAGGGAGTTCAAAGTGTACAAATCATGTAAATGTTCACAAATTATATGCAGTAGAGTACATTAATAAATATGTTCCCTAGACTATCCATTTTAATTTCAAATTTGTAAAGCTGTTAAATAAACTTTATAAAATGAATTATAGGTGAATAAAAAACATCATTTGATTTATAATTATAACGGAAAATCATCGTTTGTAAAGTGAAAGGCATAAATTCTATGTGAAATGATCATTGGTCAATTATGAAACTGCAGCCTATTTCATAAATTGATTTTCTTTTAATATTAATTTTAGATTTTCTATATAATGATATTCCAGGGCCCAAAAGGTTATATAGCATAAATATGTGAAGTACACCTACAGTATGGAAACAGTAAAACAAAATGGCCGTTTTACACTTTTTTCTAGTAAATTCCCCTCTAATATATATTCTATTCTCTTTGTGCTCTGTATTTTTAGCTCTGCCTAATTGTTAATGATTGATTAATAAACTTGTTTTAGGTTTATGCAACCTTTAGGTAAACCCAAACCCCTTGATCAAACAATAGTTCTAGATTTCAAACCAAACCAACAGAAACTATCATTAAACCATCTGGCATTTGCATTCATGCTACTGGCAGGTAATTCATTTTTTCAATCTTTTCACCAAAATTATTCATCCTTGTTTCCCCTAAGTTCCTTAACTATCCCTTGAGACAATTAAGTAAAAAACATCCCGTTCTGCAAAGTTTTCTCCAAATCCAAAGACGATGCAATTGTGTACACTCTTTTTCGGAAAATTACCAATTTTACTTTAAAAGTGAAAATTACGAACGTTTTGCCAGAATTTGTCTCACACATTTGTACAGGACAAAACTTAGGGTTCAGAAAAATTGTTCACAAGATTTAAAACTTACAGTTTTTCAATCATAGCTCAGTCTTCTTTTTGAAGAAGGACAAAATGTGTTGAATATATCCAATATGTTACTAGTTAAATTTGTTTCGCACATACTTGTCCGTGAAATCAAAACCAAAGGAGACACGATATGTGTAAACCATACAAATTGAGGTGTAATTTCCTTAATCATGCATGTGATGTCTTGATTTAGTAAATAATGTGAGTTCTAGCCACAAAACAAAATCTATGAAACCCCATGCTGTAGAATTTTGATATTCTGTTAGGTCAAATAGTTTTAACTATTATAGAGTCTAAAACTAAAGAATACGCGAATTTTAAGTTCGAGGTTAAAAGTTCTGTAAAATAATGAATAGCTACTTAAATATTAAACTTTCTTAATTTAAAATTTGAATTTCCCTGGAAAAATCTGAACCAATCAGAGAAAAGGATTTACGGAGAATATTACATAACCATCGCTAATCAGCTGTTATTACGTAACCGAAAACAAAACATATTTCGAGTTACAAGTTACAACCGTGTTTTGGGTTTACATGCAAAAATTAATTTATCTAAAACGTGAAATTTTTTTAACAAGGTTTTCACTTTTAAATTTATCGTAAAGTTGAATGATTCACCGCTTTCTCAGCTGAATAATGATTGAATAATAGACAAATAGGGAAAATGCAGGATTTCAAGATTTTAATCCTGTGTTTAAATATTTAACTCGTCGATATCGGCGAGTTAAATATTTAACCACAGGGTTAAATATTTAACCTCACGGTTAAAGTTCAGGTTTAAATTTAGTCAGAAGTGGCATTTAACCATGAACTTAAAATTTAAGTCAAAACTTTTCGTTCTTTAGTTTTAGACTCTGGTTACACCTTTAAGTTGCAAACTGTAACCTTTAGAGAAGTAATTTTGCGTACTGTACGTTTTGCCGTCTCTAGTCTTACGAGGAGTTGGTACAGTACTTCAAATAAACCGGAGTTTTCAGTTCAGGTCAAGGATATCCCGGGGGGGGGGGGGACATTTCTTAGATCGCCGAACATTTTTACTTGTAAATATAAATAATATAAATTTAATGAAAATATCTTGTTCACAGTTAGGTACATACTACATACAATGTGTCTAATTAAGAATGTTAAAGGGACTGTAAGTGTAATTTCAAGTGACCCTCCATGCAAAGATGACAATGCCCGATTTGCAACGGAACCTTTGAAATCCTTAAAACCTGCTCAAAAATGTGGAAAAGACACTATACCGTTTTTCTGATTTAAAAGGTGTTTATTTCTGTAGGTTTCTCCAGTGCGCTTCCTATAAGCAATAATGCGAAGTCACTTTCACATAGAAACCGCATTGAAAATAAAATTTAAAGAGAAGAAAAACATTGATAGTTTGATTAAAGGTGGTGTCTGTATGTAACTCATTTTAATAAAGGTTGTGCGAAATGTATTCAAGTCTTAATTGTTTAATATCATGAGACCATTGATAACATGGAGCGTTTTATTCTTATTTTATTTTAGAAGAAATTATTTTAGAAGTAAGTATTTTTAGGAAAGCTCCAAAGTTCCGCGGTCATATTTTTTATACGAACTTTATCCCATGGACTATTACAATTATAGACAGGGTTAACTACAAAAGATGTGGCTTCAATGACGACCTGGTTCCATTTAGAAACATAAATTTAAAGGTTGAAGTTGGTAATTAGTAAGCCTTACGTTTCCAGCTGCAGGTAAGAATTTATTTAGAAACAATTTACAGTCATGTCTCTGAAGTATCATCCTTTGTGGATAACCAAGGAGTAGTCTATGTTAAAGCTCAATCAGAATTGAATTGAACGTTTACATTCAAACCCTAAATACAAACAGATAATGAAGGATCAGTAAAAATCGAGTAATTTCAGTTGTAGAATCTGGTATTGTTTGTGAAAATATCAAAAAATATAATTTTAAAACTTTACCGAGATTAATACTAATTAATATTTTGTTTAGTTGCTTATGGAGCAGGGTTTCTTGTTCTTCTACTGGAAATATTCATTAGTAAAGGAAACCCGCAGGTTTAGCTGATATCAGTGAGATGTAAAATGTATGAATAAAAACTACAACCAAATATAAATATGGTTATATATAAGCATGCTGACTTAAGGCTTCGTGAGAATATTGGTTAAATTTGTAAACCAGAACCCTAGATAAATTAGACTAATTCTTCTAAGTTTCAATACTTGAAGTTATCTTAACCCAACTGATCTCCGGGTTCTATTGATTTATCCACCCGGCGTCTGGAATGGTCTGACACGATCCAAAAGCGTTCAAATTTGTATATACTCAACAAAGCCAATTGTGCCATTTAATTTAAAATCGTTAACAAAAATTAACGGTTTATTAAAAATAACAAACGAATGTGTTTCTAAATCCCAGCGACTTTTGTTAATTTGTTATGTTAACATTGCACGAAACTTAAATAAAATAAAAAATAGGTTCATATATTTTGACGCGATTGAATTTTGTCTTCAAGATTTTCTGAAACTGATTTATGAAATATCTTCCTTTAACGAACGAAAAAAATGAGATCGTTGACGAACGAAAACTTCAAACTCATAAAGATGATGGAAAATATGGCGAATAAACAAAATGTTCCGTTCCTGCCTAAATAAAAAACGGCTGCCAGAATTTTTTAACGATTATAATTTATAATCGTAATTAGTAAAGTACATATTAATTCTCGAAATGAATATATCGGGAAAATATGTGTAAGGATATGTGCGATACAACCATGTCCAATCTGATTGGATAATTTAAATACTTTCAAATTGATTTAAAATTCGTTATAATAACCATCAAAATCGATGTTAAAAACCATAAGAAAATAAAAAAAAATAAAAATTGAACAAATGGACAAAAGGGAAACGAACTCGGATCATGAGATGGACAAAAATAATTTGCAAATATTCACTTTTTAAAGAATGTTTTAAGAAAATCATTATTCATTGAGATTGCTTCTGCCCAATGAAGATTAAAAACTAACTAGTTTATATGTAAAGTGTTTAAAGTGGTGGTGGGGGTCGATCTAATTAACGAACTTTTACGTAAATCAGGGGCGGGGCGGCTTTTTAACCCTTTTCAAGGATTGGAGACAAAAATACTCTCTTTTTTCTTAAAAAATACTGAATTACAGTTTACAATTAAATAAAAACTATTTTTTCTGTTCATTTCTGTGAGATCAGTCATAAAATCTCTGATGTATTTAGATTCTCGTACTTAAAGTAAATTTCACAAAACAAGGTCCCAAACCTTCTCAAGTACGCTAACTTTTAGATGATCGAGTTCATGTCCAGGAAGGTTAAATGTTCTCCTATAGGCTGGTTTGTATGGAGGTTTCGCTAATTAGGCGTAATCATTGCAACATTTTGCAAAATTACTTTAGTAGAAATTACGCGAAATTACAGAGCAATTTTGCGAAATCAAAGTTTCGCTAATTATGCGTAATTATTACAAAAATTGTAGTTTCGACAATTTTACGTGAAATCCTGCGAAATTACACGAAATGAAAATTATTTCGCGTAACTGCAAGTAATTTTGCGTAAGTAAATAATCTAATACGTTGGAAACCCTAATTATAATCAACCTTTGACGAGGGGCTTGAAAAAAGTCTACGAGCTCATTGCATGGAAACATTGAAATCTAGCCAAGATATCCCGAGGAAACGGGACATTTAGCAAAAATTTTATTAGGCAGCGCGTTGGGTTGATGGCTACCTGAAAGTGAATACATTTAATTTGGCATTTATATGCGTTGTCACTGGCAAAGATCGGATGGAATAGGTAAAAATATCAAATTTACAGGTTTCATTTTGTTTTGTTAATGATAGGTAATCAAGATAATTAATTTAAGTTAATCCGATTAATATCAAATCTCACTTGGAACTGATTTCCTCAAGTTGTATGAGTTAGAAAATACGATTTACAATACAGAGATACTCACAATTCACATACACATACAAGCATTTCTAAACTTTTTGAAAGTCATTTAAAATTTACAAATTGAGGATGCATGAAAATTTTGTTTGATATTTTTACGGACGACTTTTTTTGCCAAAAAAGAAAGGAACTAAAACTTGACTTAAATAATTTTTTAACTCCATATTTTGTTTATATTCAATCTTAATTCACCTAGCAGAACTCTTACTTTGAAATATCAAAGTCTGTAGCATCAGGTTGTAAAGATATAGGAAATAAAACATTACATTTTTGGACAAGTATACAGTTCCTTTATAATAGAAATAATTTGAAATTCTACTAAACGATATGTTATAGGTATAAACAATTTAGATAATAGTATACAGTATTTTCAAATTATTGTTGAGGGACAAAGCACGTGACTTTCACCGTTCTTTGCATATATATATTATACTTTTTTTAAATGATAATTTGTACAACAGAGAATATATGGCAATTTATGTACATACAGATCAAGTGCATTTTGTATTCTTAAAACTACGAAAATTATTAAAGAAATTGTTATTGATAATGATTTTGTTTGGTTCTCATATCTAAAAAAAGAGTGTTCATGAAATTAGCAGAAAAAGGTTTAGGACTGATCCCAAACTGAAGGGTACCTACAAAATTTTCGCTCGAATTTTTTTTTTTTTGCAGAAAATTTCGCATTAATTCTAATTTCGTTCGTAGGAAAAAAAGTGAATGTCGCGTTTTTTTTTCACGAAATTCCTCATCGTTTTCGCGTCCTTTCCTAAAATTCAATTTCGTGAAAAAATTTTCGTAAAATATTAAAGAAAATTTTCCCGAAAGTTTTAGTTCGCTGGAAACCCATAGTGTGGCGTCAAATACAACTCATCAGAATTTAATCAGAACTTGTGAATTTGCCTCTTTCTATGACAAATTAAATAGTACACAACCAAAAGCCTATTTTTTCTTGCAAGATAAATGACTGATCGAGAAAATAATCATTCTAGTCTTATGGTTTTGGGTAACCCTGTAAGTAAAATATGTCCCTTGAAATAAAGAAGGTCAGACAACCCCCTCCCCTCCCCTATATATATTTGAAGTTCATGAGCACCTTTTTTGAATATTCAGAATTCATATGACGAATCTGACAAGACAAAAAAATAAACAATTGAATAAAATATGAATATAAAAACATATATGAATCCAAATTATATACACAATTACTGAAATTATTCATAACCGTACACTCTAAACTTTAATCCACATAAAAGTGACAAATTTAGAACCACTGCTTTTTTTTTAGAAAGGTAAATAAAATTCCGTTGTGGCTTTAACACTTCTGGCAGTATCAGCAGAAATATGTCAGCTAATCAACTAGGGCTGGCAGGGAGGTGTCAGCTATTCTAGTTACGGGAATGTCAGCTGGTTAGAGGCTGTTAGGGGGGGTGTCAGCTGTTTAACAGATTGGTTACACATGTCAGTTGTTTTTGAGCCTGCAGTGTCAGCTGTTTTAGAGGCTGTTAGGGAGGTGTCAGCTGTTCTTGAGGTTGGTAGGGAAGTGTCAGCTGTTCTAGAGGTCAAAATAGATTCTACCGATTTCTTTCTCAACCACATAGCAAATCCTTCTAAAATGTAATGTTGAAAGGGACTGATCTAAGTTTTAAATTGTACTATAGTTGTGGTCGAATTACAAATATGCCGAACACAAATGGCATAACATAACGTACAAGGGATGCAACCGGCTTAGGTCAAAACTTCGAAGATATTAAAAGAATTTCTAAATATTATCTTGACAATTTGTCAATGGGTTGTATAATTTAATAACTAAATCTCATTAATTCTAAAAATAAAAAAATAGCCAGGAAAAATGCGGGAACAGTTTTAAAGAGATCCAAATAAAAATTCAATTAAAAAACTTAACACCTGCTGCATTCCATTATTAGTAGGTTTTGAAAACGACATTTTATAAATTGTTTCGATGTCTCCAAAGTTCTAGGTTAAACTGTATGTAAAGTGTGTTTGATTTGCATGCTTAACAACAATATTTCACTTATAGAATCCCTTATAACCATTTTCTATGAAATAGTTTTTTGAATGTCAAAAAAAGGTTTTTGTTTGGTAAAGTAGTATATTAAAAACTACCTGAAGTTGTTGATGATGATGATGTCAANACTACCTGAAGTTGTTGATGTTGATGATGTCAATAAAGAACTACCTGAAGTTGTTGATGTTGATGATGTCAATAAAGAACTACCTGAAGTTGTTGATGTTGATGATGTCAATAAAGAACTACCTGAAGTTGTTGATGTTGATGATGTCAATAAAGAACTACCTGAAGTTGTTGATGTTGATGATGTCAATAAAGAACTACCTGAAGTTGTTGATGTTGATGATGTCAATAAAGAACTACCTGAAGTTGTTGATGTTGATGATGTCAATAAAGAACTACCTGAAGTTGTTGATGTTGATGATGTCAATAAAGAACTACCTGAAGTTGTTGATGTTGATGATGTCAATAAAGAACTACCTGAAGTTGTTGATGTTGATGATGTCAATAAAGAACTACCTGAAGTTGTTGATGTTGATGATGTCAATAAAGAACTACCTGAAGTTGTTGATGTTGATGATGTCAATAAAGAACTACCTGAAGTTGTTGATGTTGATGATGTCAATAAAGAACTACCTGAAGTTGTTGATGTTGATGATGTCAATAAAGAACTACCTGAAGTTGTTGATGTTGATGATGTCAATAAAGAACTACCTGAAGTTGTTGATGTTGATGATGTCAATAAAGAACTACCTGAAGTTGTTGATGTTGATGATGTCAATAAAGAACTACCTGAAGTTGTTGATGTTGATGATGTCAATAAAGAACTACCTGAAGTTGTTGATGTTGATGATGTCAATAAAGAACTACCTGAAGTTGTTGATGTTGATGATGTCAATAAAGAACTACCTGAAGTTGTTGATGTTGATGATGTCAATAAAGAACTACCTGAAGTTGTTGATGTTGATGATGTCAATAAAGAACTACCTGAAGTTGTTGATGTTGATGATGTCAATAAAGAACTACCTGAAGTTGTTGATGTTGATGATGTCAATAAAGAACTACCTGAAGTTGTTGATGTTGATGATGTCAATAAAGAACTACCTGAAGTTGTTGATGTTGATGATGTCAATAAAGAACTGAATTTATTTTTCAATTGATCATAAATCGTCTTTTTCACAACCAGTGTCACAAATAGGCTGATTCCCTGCAGAGAGATAAAAGTAAATTTAAGTAATTTAAACCACACCATTAATTAATGAATATATTGTGTTATATTATATGTAAATAAAAGTTTTTATAAAAAAATAATCAGGTTTCTAGTCCTACCGTAAACAGATTAATAACATCCAGTGTAATTACGATTCCACTTCTATTGTCCTGATTATGTTCCAGAAAAGCGCTTATGATCATAAATATCCAGGGCACACCTAAACAAATATTTATAAAGTAAAAGTTAGATAAAATTATAAAATTTTATAATTATCACCTTTTTTTTAAATATTGTTGAAAATAATTTGAATTTAGTTTAAATGGATGGTTTAGGTACAAAACAGTAGAAAGAGGGATCATTCAATAAACAAGATCTTAATAAGCCCGCAATTTAAATATAATTGAGCAAACAAAAGTATCTTTCCAAACCTTTAAAATAATTGCTTAGTCTGCTTAACACTTTATTACTTCAATAAAATAGAAATTGAAATTGAAACCGTTCACATCCTTGCACATTAAATTAGAGATAAACTTCATGAAACCATTTTATTCTTGAAATTGAGTTTTTGCCATAAGAACTATTGTACTTAGTACTAGAAACTGTGTACTTTGTACATGGTACTAGAAACATTGCACTTTTAACTCAGTAGATGTATTGAAGAAACATTGTACTTAGAACTCAGTACATGGTACTTCAACTATTGTATTTGGAACACAGTATTGAGTACCAAAAACTTTGTACCTGCAGCAGCTCAGAACATAGATCTAGAAGCAGTGTAATTAGAGCTTAGTATTTGGTACTAGAAACTTTGTTCTTGGAACTCAGTACTTGGTACTAGAAACATTGTACTCGTAAATTATAACTTTGTGGCATGAACTCAGAATTTTGTACTAAAAACTCAAAATATTGTACTCGAAATTAAACTTAGCACTTGATAATAAGATTGTTGTACTTTGATCTCAGTATTTGGTACTATAAAAACATTGCACTTAATAGGGGGTACTTTTAATTTTGCAATAAGCACATTTAGATGAAGTACTTTTAACTTGTTATTTTGTATTTGTTACATGGCATTTTATTTTCTCTTTGAAATGATTTACTTACCCATGATAATGAGGAACCGAAGCACTAACTTCACTCGCTCAATTGCCTTGTTATTGTCATTGGAACTAGGAAATTAATAATTGTTAATTTTATCTATGAGCAAGATTTTGGCTTATTCCTATTTTTTTAAATCGATTAATATAGTGCAATACATATTTTGGTAAAAATTCATCTTTAAATGGAATGTTTGTGAATGATGAAATATATATAATTTATTTAATATACTATTTAATATTCAATGGTGATTGCCACTAATATTACTTATATCTGTTGCGTATATAAGGAGAAAATTGTTAAAAACGACTGATACCGAAGAACGTAACGTCCAGACAAATTTAGAAAGTAGCAATATTCATCTCGGATCGTAAAAAAATCAATATAATTCCCAACAAATCATTCAGATATTTGAACCAATAATCATCGATAATTTTTGACGCATTCGTATATAGTTGATATTTCATAATATTCTTTATTTGTTTTAAATATGATGCAATTTAAACGACATTGTTTCATTAATGCATTTATTATAAAACAAATAAAAAATGTCAAGAAACACAAGTATCAGCTGTGTTGAGGTCGTACATCGCGTTATAAAGGGATTCGATTTGTTTTAATATACTTAAACAAAGAGTTCTCTTTACTCGATGACCCGTCATATGTTTTAAAGGCAATGAAGGGTCACTTAAAATTACTCTTATGTCGACCTGAAACGAATGGATTAAGCAATAATCTTATCTTTCCTTTCCAAGACTTTATAGAAATTATAGTTTAAAGTATAAACCTCATAACTCTATTTCTAGACAAATTTCGCCAGTGTTTCATCAAGGATCCAATAGTTATCAGAAAACAGGAACAGTTCAAACTAAAATAGTTTCCTTTTAAAAAAAACTTTGTTATTTATCAAACTATTTTTTTTAATTGTCAACGTTAAGAAAGTTTTACTGACTATTTTAAATAAACAAAATATTTTAGCTTTAATGAAATATGGCTGACTTTACAATTCTTTTATTTGAAATATTTTAATAGAACTCAATATTCTTTTCCACATTTTTGGAATTATATAGCGAAACTTTAAGGTACAGGGTTACTCACAAAAGATGAGACTTCAGAGTCGACTGTACGAAATGTATACTGTCTGTTTCATCATATTCATTATTCCCATCAACTGTAAAATTGTTTCTTACTTTTCCAAATAATTTAATAAGTCATTTCAAGACTTCATCCGAGCCAAAAGACTTAACTTAACCAAATGGGATGGTCATATCTTAAAAGTTTCAAGTCGTCTTAAAAATTCCATCCTTTGTGGGTTACCCTGTCAATATGAAGGAATATTTAGATTAAACTATTTATAATTTATAAATTTACACACCAGATGAGGAAAAGTACGATCCCATGAAAGTAAACAAACTCAGCAGTTTGGTAGAAACTTCTAGAAAAAAATCCAGGGTTTTAACAAAACTTATACAAATAAAATAGTCTCTTCCTCGTTTATCAAAGTTTAAATTAACTAAATATATGATAACAATGCAGGCTATAGTGAGGGTAAGACTAAAGAGGGAGAAGGGAGGTCTCAAAAAATAATAAATACTTAAAATTCAAATTTAAATTAAAGAATTTAACCCTAGGTTTCCTGCCATCTTTTTCTGATCCAAGGAAGCAGCGAAACTCCGCCATATAGGGTAGAATAGCAGAACAGCTGCCATAGCTGTCCATCAGGGCTGTCACAATACAGACGACAGCTGGACAACCCTTCATTTAACAGATGAAAACCAGCTGATAATTAATTAAAAACAAATAAGCTACTAATAAACTACTAATTAACTACTAATAAACTACTAATAAACTACTAATAAACTACTAATAAACCAATAATAAACTAATAATAGACTAAAAATAAACTACTAATAAACTACTAATAAACTACTAATAAACTACTAATAAACTAACGATAAACTAATAATAAACTAAAAATAAACTACAAATAAACTACAAATAAACTACTAATAAACTACTTATAGATTACTAATAAACTACTAATAAACTACTAATTAACTACTTATTAACTACTAATAAACTACAAATAAACTACTAATTAACTAATAATAAACTAATAATAGACTAAAAATAAACTGAAAATAAACTACTAATAAACTACTAATAAACTACTAATAAACTAATGATAATCTAATAATAAACTAAAAATAAACTAAAAATAAACTACAAATAAACTATTAATAAACTACTAATAGATTACTAATAGATTACTAATAAACTACTAATAAACTACTAATAAACTACTAATAAACTAATAATAAACTAAAAATTAATAAACTAATAATGAACTAATAATTAACTAAAAATAAAATACTAATTAACTACTAATTACTACTTATTAACTACTAATTAACTACTAATAAACTACTAATTAACTACTAATAAACTGCTAATAAACTACTAATAAACTGTTAATAAACTACTAATAAACTACTAATAAACTTCTAATAAATTACTATAAAAACTACTAATAAACTTCAAAATACATTGTATTTTGATAAACAAGAAATTTGTTCGTGCTTCCAAGACTTTTATGATTTTTAGACTTTAAAAAAACATCACAAAATACTGTGAAGGTTCCAACATTGATTAAAATAACAGATATCGTCTTTTAAAGATTTACGTGTGGTTCGTTCACAATAACCCAGAGGCAGAAGCCCAAAAGAGTTACGCGTAGTCGGCGTAGACATGCTCTCTGTAGAATTACAAGACAGAGAAAGAGCCTTGTTCTACACCGACTACGCTTAACTCATTTGGGCTCTTGCCTCACGGTTATTGTGAACGAAACACACATAAATATTAAAAAAACGACATCTAGTGACCTATCTTTTATTTTAATTAATTTGTTTCAACATTTAAAAACTGTATTCTGTAAAAGTTAATTTGTATCCTCATGGGAAAGAAAGATCAGAAACGAACCAAAACGATCGTTTCTGGTATGTTATTTGTATAATTTACTTTAGTTAGGGCCAGAGAAGCAAATGGGTAAACAATTTTAAAATTTAAAAGACGTCTTTAACTTTTTAAAACTTTTTCAAATCTTCAACAATTCTTAGAAATAAAACCAAAAAACTAGGTATAGCTAACTGTATTAAAGAATTTAGTAAATTTACTTCACATACCAGGAATAATTTCTGGGGAAGTTAATTCTAATTTTTCCATCAATTTCAGTTTTATTATAAATCATTTCATAAAATTTTTTAAATAAGCACGGCGAGCTGTAATTGTGTACACCGACACAACAACTAATTTCCTTTTCTTTTCTTACAGTTTAAAATTTTTTATAATTTTTGAAAATTAAAATGGTGCGAGGCAAAGCTAACAATTTCAAATGTTCATTCTTTTTCTAATCTTGCGCAAAAATTTCTATTGTATTGTATATATTGATTTTTGACACATAAAATAAAACCTACTTGAGCAATAAGGACGCAAATATAGAAATGCTTGTTGTTTGATGCCTGATTAGGGGTCTGCACTACAAGAACCATTTTCGTGATATCCAGAGCCATTGCTGTTATCCAGAAGAAGATGGACAGAAATGTGTACTGTACCATATATCCTTTATAAACAGATTTATTAGATACATTGCTGTTAACCAGAAGAAGATGGACAGAAATGTGTACTGAACCATATATCCTTTATAAACAGATGTATTAGATACATTGCTGTTAACCAGAAGAAGATGGACAGAAATGTGTACTGAACCATCTATCCTTTATAAACAGATGTATTAGATACATTGCTGTTATCCAGAAGAAGATGGACAGAAATGTGTACTGTACCATATATCCTATATAAACAGATGTATTAGATACATTGCTGTTATCCAGAAGAAGATGGACAGAAATGTGTACTGAACCATATATCCTTTATAAACAGATCTATAAGATACATTGCTGTTATCCAGAAGAAGATGGACAGACTGTAACTGTAACTGTAACTGGAACTGTAACTGTAGTTACAAGTAACCCTCCATTAATAAAGCCGCATCCCCGGTTAAAGGGTATCGTTGTGAATTGGGCAAGTGACGAATATAGGTCCTTTTGGAAATGATTTAAAATGTCTGTCATTGAAATTGCTTGTGGTCCTCAACTTAGAAAGAGGGCCTTGCCCAATTCATAACAGTGCCCTTGAACCTTTATCTGATAAATAATGTGGAAGATGTTCTCGTTTTTCTAGATTTAAAATTGTTTAATTCTCAAAACATTCGTTATTGTTACTTTAACAAGAAATCCGCTTGAACTATATTGATTAATATCTTACCAATAAAAGCGCAAGGAGTTGTGTAAAGGTAGGCCTCGGTTGGAATTACCCATTGAATGAACAGAAAGAGATAACTGAATAAAAACAGTTAGAAAATTTGAATTGAAAATAAAATCAAAAGCGAATAAAGTCAGAAATAAATACAATGACATGTGTTGTCAAATAAATCAAAATTTAAAAAAATCAACGTTATTAAGCCGATAAGTAAAACTGAATTAAAAACAAATTCCTTTTTTTTTACCTGATAAATGAGCTGATTAGGAATCCCAGTGTATTTCTAAAGAAAAACAAATGTTATTAAAATCATGATGATAGCGAAATTAAAATTGTTATTATTAGCCATGATATTTGTGCCTATTGCCTATTGCTTGTATATGTTCAAGTACTTTTTATGGTACAGTATTAGGTAAAGAATGATGATGACTTTTTCATTTAAGTTTTGATTGTTGAGCTTTTTCGTATTTATACAAATTTAGAAGTAATCAAAGAGAAGCTTTTTAAATAGACAGCTTCTCTTAACTTCTATGTTTGTGTAATTGTGCTTGTAAAGTGTACATGTCCATGTATTACCTATGGTAGTTGTGCCTGTACAGTGTACAGTGTACATGTTCAAACATTACCTTATGTAGTTGTGCCTGTACAGTGTACAGGTCCAAGTATTACCTATTGTAGTTGTTCCTGTACGGAGTACATGTCAAATAATTACAATGGTAAAATTGTGTCTGTACATTGTACATATCCAAGTATTATAACCTATGGTAGTTGTGTCTCTACATTGTACATGTCCAAGGATTATTACCTATTGTAGTTGTGTCTGTACATTGTACTTGTCCAAGGATTATTACCTATGGTAGTTGTGTTTGTACATTGTACATGTCCAAGTATTATTACCTATGGTAGTTGTGTCTGTATATTGTACATGTCCAAGGATTATTACCTATGGTAGTTGTGTCTGTACATGTCCAAGGATTATTACCTATGGTAGTTGTGTCTGTACATGTTCAAGGATTATTACCTGTGGTAGTTGTGTTTGTACATGCCCAAGAAGATATAGATGAAGATAGTGAGGAGCATAAACATTGCGGAAATGAACAAGGATACAGGATAAAACCTCTTCAAATATCCTTTCCAATAATTCAAACTAATACTAATCTATAACTGTTGCATATCTTGAACATCTTTGTACAGCGCTTCCCCCCAAAAAAATGGAAATTGAGTGAGAATTTTGACATCGTCTTAATTAATTGAATTGCTATTATTTTGATTGATCACCGCAGTTATATGGTAAAATAAAAATAAATAAAATATAGTTCACGGTTTATCTAGAAGAAATATACAGTCTTGTGAAATAGCAAACGAACCTATTTTCTATGCATTTAGGACACCGTTTAACATGTGCCATACAAATCTAGTAGGTATTTGTTTTTAAAATCGTGGGTATAAACAACATAATACAAATACCAATAAAATTAGTTGTTTCCTAAAAGTAAGGGTCAACAACATTTTCGTTAGCAGTCCCTAAAAGGAGATCATTCTGGAGAACTATTTAAAGGATTCCTTGACAAACTCGGAGTCCCCAGTAGTCTCACTAAAACAGTAACAGAAAATAGTATTTTTTGAGTGTTCTAGTATTTCCATTATGCATGATAAAAATCTAAAAAACTATATTCCTTTTACGGAAATATAATTTCAATGAAGTTTATAGATTTTTCAAACTTTTTTATTTCCAATTCCCGAAATAAACATGATTTCGAGATAGTTTGTCAATTTTGAGTTCAAGATAGTCCCAGAAGTTATTAAGCTGGAAGGGTTGAACTCTTGGATCAATGAATTGAACTATTTTTTTTAGTTTCGTTAAATCAACAAAAATTGACTTTTTACAAATACTTAATTCCTTGTTTTATAAGGGACTGTCAGCGTTATTTTAAGTGTTACTCCATGCAAAGATAGTATTTACAATATTACCCTTGAAACCTTAATCGTTTGAAACTCAAACCACAAATGAAAATAAACAGTTACCGGTCCGTTGTAAATCGGACATTGTTATCTTTGCATGGAGGGTTACTTGAAATTACGCTTACAGTTCCTTTACTGATGTAAAAATGATGTAAAAATGATGTAAAAAATAATCTGTTTTGATTATAGATTACCTGGAGCACACTAAGAATTCAGAGGTTACTTCTCTAAAAATTAATATTTTTGAATTCCAACGGTTAAATTTTTTTTATTTGCCTCATTTACACATTTTTTTTACTAGAAACCCGTTTGCTTTGCGGGCCATTTTTATTTTACGTAAATCGTAATAATTCAACAACAGCAAATCCAATGCTTCCGAAAAAAGTACTAAATGATTTTTTTTTCTGAAAAAAACTTTTAAATTTTCTAGGACAATTAAAAAATTAAAATAAGTAATTTCCACGAAAGTATTTTTGTTAAACCTTACCCATTATCTTCAAGTATGTGCCCTAAGCAAAATTCTGAATTATGAACCTGAAAAGGGTAATTTTTAAAAATAAGCAAATCACTTTTCTTCAAAAAATATAAATTTTAGATTTTTTAATTTTAGATTTTAATATTTTTAAATTTAAAATCACAGAAAAACTTATGGCAACCTACATCAAACGTCTATTTTTTACTTGAAGTAAGTCTGCAAAAACACACAATATTTACCGAATTGTTTAGAAATCCATCATTAAGCAGTTCCAGATGCCCGTCTTTGTTGAATCTACAAGTAAAGATGAAACATTTAGCAACCGCATGCATCGGTCGGAGGCGAACACGATTTAGATACAAAATTTAGGAAATTCAGGAACTTTCCAAGGTTTTTCATATTTGACGACACTTTCCCAGAAATAAAAACTGTTGTGTAAAATGGCGCTAATTTACAACGCTTGATCTTGATATCCACGGACAGCTTTAAAATGCTTTATCAATAGATTTCATTAATCCCTGCAAGGTACATTGATATACGGAATATCCAGGAATATAAATCTGTTCAATGGAGACGAATGCTTGAACCCGAGATTCACAGCAATGAGTTCTTACCTCTGGACAAGTCCATATTTTAACAACAAGATCTTGGCGAATATTTTGGAAAGGGGTGCGGACTTTATTTCTTAGAAACGTCGGTTGACTATTATCTTTAAACACATTTAAATACCTATTATCCGGTCATACCGCATCATATGTAAAAAAACAATTAAAAAATCTACAAATTCAAAAAGAATTGGAATAAAGTACCCCATGCGTATCAACATGTGTGTTCAAATGCCATATTATTTAGGCATTCTTCAAGTTCAAGTAAAAAATATTCATTTTTCATTCAAAATTAAGCATTTAAAGGATGGATGTCAAAAACATTTACTTTATATACCAGGTTGAACAATGTTGATTATTTTCTAAACTTTGTGTGTTATTGTTAGAAAATAAAGCAATTATATTTTACAATTATAATTTTTCATGCCTTTATTGAAAAACACTTGTCTGTAGTAGTTAAAAATTAAATCAAACAAAGACATGTTTTGAAAAATATAAAAATTATTGTTTCGATTTGTTTGCAAAGATCAATAATTTCATTTACAGGGTCAAAAGTTTGATAAACATTAGAAAAAATTGATTTCTTTATTTTTTTCACCTGCTAGTTTCGGGTTGAAAACCAAAAAAAAGTTCTTGCGATAAGAATTGTCCTAAAATACGAAGGAACCTATATAACTGTGGAATAGGAAGACGACTGTAAGGTTTAAGTTGTGAGTTGTGAGTTTTATGAGTCCCACTGTAAAGTTTGAATTAGCATATTTAATAAACTTATCATAAGCACTACCTATAATGTTAAAATTTTTTAAATAAGTATAAATCAAAGTATATCTTGTTTTAATGATAAAAAGACTGCTTTGTACAATGTGGAGAATTATTTATGCTTCATGTTTTCCTGTCGTTAATTTTTTATCATTTTTTGTTAATTTTTGTTAATTTTTGTTGCTAACGCAGTTTGAACAATTTCTCCGAATAACGAGCGATTATTTTAATTGCACACATTTTTTACCTGTAGGACAAGTAAACTTTTGAAAACCGAGAACTTCAAATTCCTAAAAATTGCATGAGTAGAAAAAGTAAATTGTGTATAAAATGAAAAAAATATTATTTTTTAAAAAACAATTGAATACTTTTTCCTATTTGACATTAACATCATGTTTATTCTACAGAGTATAACGACAAAGAGTGTAATAAAAAATATTATACGTCATATTTTCTTCTCAAAATGTGATCTTTTCTCTTCTAAATTCTAAAATCAACTGAGATACAAAATGTCAAAATCTTGAAAAGTTTCCTAACATCTCCGTCGATTTTGGAGACATGAAAGTGACAGACCACCTTTGGAAAATACTATTTCTGATGGTAATCGGTGCATAAAGTTTTGACTGAAAAGAAAAAAATACCACGTAGAGCAAAGAACATGTTTATTAGGACACCATAAGAAAGAATTTTATTCATAAACGTTTCAAAGAAGTTTATAAACGCGTTATCGACATCTACGTAGAAATAAATCTACTTAAAAATCCCTAAAATTCAATATGGGATTAGTTTAGTTATTAAAAAATGTGAGAATTATTATAACCTCAGTGTTTTGAATTGGATATCGGGGATCTGGAACACACTTTTTGGATGGGTAAAATTCCTAAATATTAAATTATTATTATTAGTGATAAAAGTTCTTTTTTATTTAAAAGTGATCTCTATGATATTTTTAACGTTAAACATTTGTTTTTTTTTGTTTAAATTATGAATTATGATAGACCTTTTGGGAATATTTTTGCATGTCTAAGGTTTAGACCAACAGGTTTCAAACATAAAAGGATTAGAATTAGAAAATGAGGACTTTACGCAAGCGTTCAGTTTCTTCTGATGCAATTTTTCATCCTAATTTTACATATACAACCTCTCAGTTTATGTTGAAATCAAAAAAATGATTAGGGGCTCAGTTTCACCAACCACAATATGTTTGCCGAAGAACGTAACGTTCATGCAAATTCAGAAAATTGCAACATTCAACTCGGTTCATAAAAAAACAGTTTTATTCCAAACAATTATTCAGATATTACGACCTAAAATCATCAATAATTTTTCGACGCATTCGTATAAAGTTGATATTTCATAATATTTTTAATTAAAAAATAATAATACAACTTTTTTTCACGGTAGGCGCTGGATTTTCTATACCATTCCTGGAAAATATGAAAATGTCGTCTTCACTCTAAAAACGAAACAGGAATAAATGTTTTCAAAAGCAACTTTTGAATCATAAATTTTTTATATATTATGTAAAAATCAACTGTATATGAATGCGTCGAAAAAATGTCGATGATTATAGGTTGTAATATCTTAATGATTTGTTTGGAATTAAATGGATTTTTTTTACGATCCGAGTCAAATGTTGCAACTTTCTGAATCTGGATGGACACTACGTTCTTCGTTATGTGTCATTTTTAACAATATTCATAGTCATATCTAAGGTTTACGATATTGGGCTGCACAGATCTAGGGATTAGAAAAACAGAGCTTTTGTTCTTTGCTATAATTACGAAAGCATGACACGTAAGCAACAAAAGTTTCATAAAAAATACCAGCGCGGCCAATATGACATATTTTGGCCTTATTTTAGCTCCGCTCTACAATCTAATACATTCCCTTATCTTTGTGTGATCTTTTTTGAGGGTTGTTTAATTTGAAAAAATGCAAACTGACCAAGCCTTCCGCAAGTAGTTCCTCTTTGGTACATCTGTTGTGATCCGTACTGTTTCGAACACTTTTCAGAGAGGTCTAGAGAGTTAAAAATAATATTATTCCATCAAAAATGTATATTTATGACTGTTCATTTTGGTAGTTTACTATCAACTTTTACTTCATACATCAAACATGTGATCTTATTCATATTGTTTTTTTAAAGGGAGAAGAAATTTGGAATTTTTATTTTAGTTCAAAACAAAAATAAAAATAAAAAAATACCTGAAAAATGTGGCCCACGGGACAACATAACTCGACGCAGGCAGAACTAAAGAACAGAAAAAAATTAATCATTTTTTAAGAATCTCTATTTTTAACAAAACAACCCTACCTTCTAATTGCACGAACATTTTTAGAAAAAAACTCATTAAAACCCAGTCTTGGGATATATGAATCTTTTGCTTCTGTTAAAGCTGTTAATTAGTGTTGATATTGAACGTTTTCTAGACGACTTTTTCGTCAGCAATTTGAATGCAATTTCCGGAAAAAATTTTATCTGAAAAAAAACTCCTAAAATTTACCTCTTACAAGGACTACAGCCAACTGCATAGTTTATCCTGTTCAGAGTTAGAGTACAGAACTGATCTATACTCTGATTATACTGGAATACAGAACTTTTATTAATATATCCTATTCATGATTAGAGTACAGAACTGATCTATACTCTGAATATACTGGAGTACAGAACTTTTATTAATATATCCTATTCATGATTAGAGTACAGAACTGATCTATAATCTGAATATACTAGAGTACAGAACTTTTATTAATATATCCTATTCATGATTAGAGTACAGAACTGATCTATACTCTGATTATACTAGAATACAGAACTTTTATTAATATATCCTATTCATGATTAGAGTACAGAACTGATCTATACTCTGATTAAACTAGAATAAAGAACTTTTTTTAATATATCCTATTCATGATTAGTAGAGTACAGAACTGATCTATACTCTGAGACTTTAATTAAAATGGAGTACAGAGCCAATATTTCTCTATCATATGATCAGTTACGTAGTAAGACCCGGAATCTATGGCTGACATAAGCCAAGTTTAAACCATATAGTTAGGATATCCAGTGGCCTGGATGGAATTCATGAGACGGAAAACTAAAATTTGCACTTCATCAAAAATTCAAAAGTTGTCAGTGCAGGTTGTCGAGATTAGACAATGTTGATTAAATCTATCACAAACAAAAGTGTTCACATCTGTTAAAGGGAGTGTTTAAGAAAACCGAAAGGGGGTATATATAGGCTGATGTCAGATTGAATTCGATATTGATCGCTACTTTTATCTGTTAAGTCTATAAGGAGAAAATTTTAAAAACGTCTTATACCTAAGGAAGTAGCGTGCATATAAATTCACAGATTTGCATTATTGCATCAAATCGTAAATATTTCTATTAAATTTTAAAGGAATCATTCAGATATTAAAAACCACAATTATTGAATTCAATTTAATGCATTTGTAAAAAGTTCAGATTTAATGATATTTTTTATTTGTTTCAGAGCGACACATGCGACCAAAAAAATCATCATTTATAGTGCATCGTATAAAAAACAAATAAAACTATTATGAAATATGAACTATAAATGAATGTATCGAATTGAATTCGATACTTATAGGTTGCAATATCTGAATGTTTTAGTTAAATATTTAATTAAATCATTTGCGATCGAGTGGAATAATGCAACTCTGTAAAGGAATTGAGTCTTTGCCACAAACTTGAATATTCCATTTACTTTATCTTTGCGAGCTGGCTGTGTAAATCTTTGATATTTCAAACTTACATTACTTGATCTAACAGAGTTTATAGTTTGAAATATCTTAGGTCTACGACATTGGGTTGCAAAGAAACAGGGTTTAAAATATCAGAGTCTGTGTGGAAAACTCAATTCCTTTGTACAACGATACGCTCTGAGGTATACAACGTTTTTTACCTATTTCCCCTTATGGTAACGCAACACATAAAAGTAAAATTAGTAGCTATCGATATTGAGTTTAATTGGATTTGAGCCTTTACTCCCTTTAAGAGATCTGATCTAAATAAATCTCTTTAGGCATAAATATCTTTTAAAGGAGTTAGGATTTCAATAAATATATATCTCACATGTGTCTCATGAAAATAAAGATTTTATATTTATATCTTTCTGTTTTCTAAATCTCTGAATTTGCTATTGTGAAGTGAAGGACAAAAACAAATTGAATTTCAGACTCCTGAGACATGCAACACAACTCATGTTTGAAAATAAACGAATCGTTAAACAAAAAATAACGCGAGGATACCATACAAGATGGTTGATTCAAGATAAAACATATTGTTTAATAATATTTTGAACAATAATATACCTAAAACGATTTTAAATAATAGTTGTTTAATAAACTTGGAAAAAGGGGGAAAACGCATTGAAATGTATTTTATCATCATTATACGTCAATTAGATTATTTGCTGTTGAGGAAGGGTGAAGGTATAATGGGGGGGAGGAATATAGATGAAATTAGGAAACTTTACAATACAATTGGGAGTAGAACGGGGGAAGGGGAACAATAAAATATTTTATTTAGAATGAATTGATTGTATTTCTTTACTTTAATTAGTTTGCTTTTTAATACTTTCTTGGGAAGGTTTTAACATGAAAATTAAAAAATTGTCAATTATTTCGAAAAACATCAAAAATAAATATTAATGGCTAAAGTTCTTTATTGTTTAGATGTTTTTCAAAAAGTTAAAAGTTTCAAAATGCTTGTTTTTTTAAATCTCGAATGACGATGTGTTAATGTGTTAATCGACTATTTTATTTATAATAGGCTACTTTTAATCTTTCATGATGACATTATAATAATCAAAAAAATAACAAATTTTATGTTTAATTTAAAGACTTATACAGTACTAGGCTTTTAGGGCGCTTCGCGCCCATCTTCTATTTCAACTTTTAATTGTGGCTTTATCTCTGAACATTTTCTCTTTGTACAGTATAAAACAAAAACAAAAAAAGTTTGCGGATTTCATAATATTTTTTTTGCGCATTTTCAAAATTTTTCAAAAAATTTTGATCATTCATAAACCTTCCCTGGGGTCACGTGAGGTCCCACAAAAAAATTGGACCCAATCGGTTCAGCCGTTTTGACGTTTATTGGATACAAACAAACAGACAAACAGACAAACACCAAGACAAGCCAAATTTATATATAGATTGACGTATATCAGGGAAATCTAATAAATAAAGTTTAAATTAAATTGTCCTATTTGTTATCATCTGCAGTTTAAACTCATCTTAAGAAAGTTTAAATTTTTCCCCACAAGGTATTGCGAATGAAAATAGTATCGGCTCTTGCGCGAGAAACTGAACTATTTTTTGAGAATAAAACTAAAAATTTAGTATTTTGTATATGGATTAACTTTTAACACCTTGTCAAATCTATCCTCGATCACACCTTAACTTTATTAAAAAGCTTCCAGGGAAAATTATTTGATCTTTTTAAAAAAAAGGAATACAATTGACAAAATTGAAAGGGATAAAAAGTTGAATTTCGATTAAATTGTCCCTTTTCTTTCCCTACTTTTTACATATACTTTCTACAATAATATGAGGGCGTATTTACTATGTATGTTGAATAGTGCATGGCAACTTTAATATCTATTTATATAAAATAGTAGTCTTTATTGCTTTGTTTTCTGTTGGTGTTTGTTTGTTTGTGTGTTCGATCATAACTTAGGAAACCCTTTCACAGATTTGCCTCAAAGGAATTGAGTCTTTGTCACAAATTCAGTTTTTGTAAAACCTATATCATTGCAACCTTATGATGTAAACCTTTAATATTTCAAACTTACATTATTTTATCTAATAGCATTTATAGTTTAAGATATTAATGGTCTACGACATTGGGTTGCAACGATATTAAAATTAGAAAATCAGAGTTTGTGACAAAAACTCAATTCCTTTTCCAAAAAAGAGCTCGGTTTAATTGAAAACTTTTAAGTTGAGTTGGTCGACTTACATTCCCAACAATGCATAACATAATAATCTCTGTTTAGTTGTTTGTATGTCAGATCATAACTTCGGTACCCCTTGACCAATTTGCATTATTTTTTTTGGAGAACACGGTAGTTTATCTTCCAGGTAAATCTGGGTTCCCAAGCTAGTAATTGTTTGTCTGTATGTCCAATCATTATTGATAAAACCCTTGACTGATTTATCACAAAATTTGATTTGGGAAATTGTTAGTTATGAGAAAGTTTTGATTTTCCGGCCAAGCTAGGTTGCCAAGGTGGTTTAAAGTTGTAGGGGGGGGGGTTAATACATTTTAATTGTTTAAAATATTTGGGGTTACTGATTTGACACGATAATTTCAGGATTTACAAGTTTTGATTGGTGTTGAACTATTTAAAACTTTATAATTTAGTTGGAATACTATTTCAGTTTACAAGTCTGCTATACTACACAACATTCAATATGTTATATATCAGCTTTTATTATGTTAAATAGGATTTCAAAAATGTTGTACTCATAAGTTGAAAAATATATTTAAATTATTAAATATATTAAATATATAAAATTCGAAGCATCTTTATACATAACTCTGATCGGCTTAAAATTGAATATGCGGTAAACCATGTCATCTGAGAAAAAAGAAGAAATAAAAAATTATTAAATCTTGTTAGTAAAAGGTATTCCTGCCTTATGAGAGAAAAGCCTCAGTTTTCCCTGATTCTCCTTTATACTTGTATTATGCTTTAAAGGGAATAATTCCTTTCTACGGCAGGGTACCTCGCTATCACTTATCAACTAATTTATAAAAAATTAACATTTCAAACTTTTCTTATGATTGGAGGAATGCTGTATACTACAGTTTAGCCCAGTACTTCGGAGACATTGAAAGAATTTATAAATATAGTTTTTTTTTTAAACCCAATGATACTGGAATACTGAAATTATTTAGTTTTTTTTAATTGAATACTTATATAAAGCTCTTTTAAACTGTGTCCCTATGATGCACTCCTCATATTTCATGACTATTTCTTTATTTTACAAATACCGAGATTCAGATATAATAGTATAAATTCTACTGAAAAATTGTCAAGACGACATATTATAATTTTTTCTGATTTCTTTGTAGTTATGGGTTAAGCTTACATGCTGTAAGTTGTAAAAGGGGTAACCAATGCTTGTAAAACGTGCAAAATAAAGTACAGTGAACAGTGTAGCGTACAGTGTAGTGTACAGTGTACAGTGTATTGTACAGTATACAGTGTAGTGTACAGTGTACAGAGTAGTGTACAGTGTACAGTGTAGTGTACAGTGTACAGTGTAGTGTACAGTATACAGTGTAGTGTACAATGTACAGTATAGTGTATATTGTACAGTGTAGTGTATATTGTACAGTGTAGTGTACAGTGTACAGTGTAGTGTACAGTGTACAGTGTAGTGTACAGTGTACAGAGTAGTGTACAGTGTACAGTGTAGTATACCGAGCACAATGTAGTGTAAAGTGTACAGTGTAGTGTACAATTTACAGTGTACAGTGTACAGAGTATAACAGTGTACATTGTACAGTGTACAGTGTACAATGTACAGTGTAGTGTACAGAGCACAGTGTACATTGTACAGTGTAAAGTGTACAGTTCATAGTGTATACAGTGTACAGTGTACAGAGTACAGTGTACAGTGTACAGTTAACAGTGTATACAGTGAACATCTTCTTTGAAAGTTTAATATAAAATGTAAACCTGATCCCCTTGTTTTCAGCCTATAAAAAAGGCAATAAAGTTTGAAATGTTTTCCTGCGTTATTTCAAGAATAGATATTTTGTCCAGACTGGTTATATTCCTCTCTTGCATCAACCTTTACCGGAGATAAAGAATTTAATATTAAAAACGTAGTATTAAGCTTCTTTTATAAAACGATATTTTTGCCGAAAAAAAATCACATCCAACAATATGAACTTTAGATACTTTTACTCTAACCTAAAAGGTTTTTAAAAATCAAAATGTCACTATTCTCGAAATCAATTTTTGTGAATTTTTAAAAATAGTGATTTCTATATCTCCGCTCCTGTCACACTGGCCATTTCTGCAGCAGTCAAGTGCTAATACCCGTGCTTGCAAAAAAATGATTAAGAATACAATAAACATAAACATGATGCACAGTTTACACTTCTGGTACAGCTTACATTGTCTCTGAAATATAAAAAAATATACGTACCACTGTCAATAATTCATTTTTCAGAAATGAAATGAATATTTGTTTCATATCTAAATTCCGAGTCCAATTATATCTTTACAACATCATTGACTGATTGAACATGCAGAACTCATAATTTGAAATATCAGAGTTTTTCACGATTAATTTGCTAAGATGTATTAGAAAAATAAGAATAATGGCAAGTAAAATAAATTTTAGCATTATTCTCATCTTTTTGAAGAGCTACTGTGAGAAACAGATTAAGATAACTAATTTGCAAAGAGAAGTGTAATTAAATCGTGTTATGTAAATAAACAAGTGCAAATATTTTTAGGATTGGCAATGCGGAAAATACACAACCTGGTTATTATATATTAAACTTATATATATAGAATGATAGAATCCCTGAGTTGTCCAAAAAACTGCAAATCAGTTCAGTTACCGGAAGCATGAAAATATAGCGATTTTTACAAAGTCATTATTTCATGCCGGGTTGATAATATCTAATATGAGAGAAATTGATACATTAGGAAACTGTTCATAAAGCTTACAACCATTATTATTTCAGAATAACCTAACCATTGGGAAGTTGCCACTTGGAAAATTTTCACTCGGGAAAAATACCTTTGGGAAATTGTACCTAACACCTCCAGGTAGTGGCTGAGCTCCAATAGCCCCCCCCCCCCGTATACGCCCCTCCTAACCATGTAGTGACTCACTTAGTCTGGCAATCCTGGTTTTTTTCAAAAAGGGGAGGGGACGGGATTGGTGGGGGTGGGGTTGCATCTTCAAATAGATGTACAGCTCTACAGCTAAAATTTAATTGGCTTTGTAAAAAATGTAAACGAAAAAACATTTTGCTAACGGAAATTTTGTCGGCTTTAAAAACTTCGGTTATTACTTCACGTAGCCATATTTTTTTACCATGTTCGTTTATTGGAATCAAATGTAGATTTCAAGCAAACAATTTACACAATTATAATCTCAACTTTATCCCCCACTCTACATAATGAAAACTTAGAAACAGAAGATAAATTTTTTCATCCTTTAAATGTATTTTACTTGTAAAAAATATTATTAAGATGTTGTGAATCTAAGCCTTCTATGTTGCTCGTTAGCTTGTAGAATAAGTTTGAGTTAGCTTTCATTTGCATTATAATTATTATTCAGTACTTTTATGAAATATGTTATAAACTAAATAGTTGAAAAATAATGTGAATTAGTTTAATTAAAATGCATTAAGCTTGTTTCAATTATGCAAATATAAAAAATGTTCCAATATAATCAAACACAATCAAATCAGTAACTTTTTGCCCTATGCCCATACCTTGCTGAATGTCTAGTTGCGCGCCTTCCTTTCAAACAAGAAGCTTCTCTTTAAATTGCTATTGTTAAAAAGAACGAAAACCTCTTTACAGGTTCTTTAATTCTTACTGCAATGTAAACATGTACTGTTTGATTGTACATTGTAGACTTTTACTGTACTTACTGTATACACAGTGACCCTTAAACAAAGAAGGACAAGATTGTATTACGAGAAAATGCAGTTCATAATCTGGAGAAAATTTGTATTTTGAATTATATATAGGATATGTGTATTGAATTATAGTGAAGGATATAATGAGGATATCTGTATTGTTTTGTAAAAGATTTCATTAGGATATGTGTATAGTATAGTGAAGGATATCCTGTGGATATGTGCATTGTATAGTAAAGGATATCCTGAGGATATGTGTATTGTAAATTAAAAGATATCCAGCCTAAGTATATGTGTATTGTATAGTGAAGGATATTCTGAGGGGGTTTGTATTTTATAGTGTAGAGTAATGTGTATTGTATAGTTAGGTGGATATGTGTAATGTATAGTAAGAAATGGATCGTTTCCATTTTTTTTTTAAAACGATCGTTTCGTTTTAAAACGACGTAGAAAAAAACGAAACTATCTTTTTAAAAACGAAACGATCATTTTTTCGATCGTTTTTCTATAAAACAATTAACTACCCTATATTGAAGGATATTCTGAGGATATGTGTATTGTATAGTGAAGGATATCATGAGGACGTGTATTGTATTTTGAAGGATATCATGAGGACGTGTATTGTATAGTGAAGGATATCATGAGGACGTGTATTGTATAGTGAAGGATATCATGAGGACGTGTATTGTATAGTGAAGGATATCATGAGGATATGTGTATTGTATAGTGAAGGATATTCTGAGGATATGTGTATTGTTTAGTGAAGGATATCATGAGGACGTGTATTGTATAGTGAAGGATATCATGAGACCGTGTATTGTATAGTGAAGGATATCATGAGGACGTGTATTGTATTTTGAAGGATATCATGAGGACGTGTATTGTATAGTGAAGGATATCATGAGGACGTGTATTGTTTAGTGAAGGATATCATGAGGATATGTGTATTGTTTAGTGAAGGATATCCTTATGATATGTGTATTGTATATTGTCAAGTGAAGTGTATCTCAAGGGTGTTTAGCTATTCAAAACCATTTTTGTGTTTTCACATGTTCACTGCTTAGTTCCGGGTCTAAAACTGAAGGAATCGAGCCTGGTATTTTAATTTCTTATAGGTTTTCATGCACTGGGCAGTGCGTAACGGGCTTTCCTAATCCTGTCTTGCGCCCTACTATACCAATACTAGGATTTACAGAAAATGCTAAAACTGGTTCTATGCGCACAAACCATGCAATATGTTGTAATGAGTGCAGGGGAGGGCAGACATAGATCATCCGAAGTTGTGACCCGCAATATTTTGTTTTTAAGCTTAATTTCCTCTCGAAAATAAAGTCAATCCCCGAAAAAAAACGTTGCGTATCGAAAGCGCAAATCCATTTTGTGACGTCAATTGCGGGTCGGAAGCATAGAGAATAGAATATATATTAGAGGGGAAATTAAAGAATCTCTCGGTATGAATTTTTTCAGTCCCTTTCAGCCTGAACGGGAGTTCAAAGTGTAGAAATCATGTAAATGTTCACAAATTATATGCAGTTATGAGTACAATAATACAGTATGTTCCCTAGACTATTCATTTCAATTTTGTTAAATAAACTTTATAATGAATTAGGTGAATAAAAACATCATTTGATTCATAGTTATAACGGAAAATCGTCGTTTGCAAAGTTGAAGGCATAGAGTCTATGTGAAATGATAATTGGTCAATTATGAAACCAGCCTATCTCATGATTTGGTTTTCTTTTAACAATAATTTTAGATTTTCTATAAAATGATATCCCAGGGCCCAAAAGGTTATATAGCATAAATATGTGAAGTACACCTGCAGTATGGAAACAGTACAACAAAATGGCCGTTTTACACTTTTTTCTTTAGTAAACTCCCCTCTAATATTTATTCTCTTCTCATAGAAAAGGTTTTATTAGTTCGGAGATTATGACTCCAAGCTTCCTGATATCTCATAGGACGATGAAGCTGTTAAAATTGTTTCACTTTTCTTAAATATTCCCACTAATAGGCTGAACGTTGGGTATAACAACTGCCTTAATTTTCAATCTCCCATGCACCTATCCTGCCTTGATAGGCTTTATGCCAAACTTAATCTCTCATCAAAGCTGGGAAATTTTGTAAATTGGATTCTCTGACTCATAATCCAGATCTATTTATCTCGATTTACACTGCAGGCACAATTTTGAGGATCAATGCTTTATCTCTTCATTTCAATTATCCCTTTAGGGTATGCAGTTTGTAAAAGAACTGCTAGGATATAGAATAAAGATTGTTATACTATGCAGATTAACAAAAGACGAGATCAACCATGGATCTCGTTATCTGCACCAAAATTCAATACTCAGATGAATTTTGTGTTATTTCATCGTTTTCTAGAAAGCCTAAAAATTATTAAAAATCAAATTGCTTAAATCTAAGGAATTACGAATTTTGCGAAGTTTTTGCTTTCACTCGGAATTGTTTTACAAAAAATGAAACAACACTGTAAGAAAATCCGGGGTAATTTATTTTAAATTGTATGACCAGAGGCGTATTCAGGGGGGGGGGTATGGACCAGTGAAATCTATTGATTTTAGGGGGTTTTCAGGCCCCAACGGATGCTGAGCCCCTCCCTGGAAAGAGAACAAAATTTAAGCCCGCCCCCCCTGGACAAATTCCTGAATACGCCCCTGTGTATGACCTTCTCTTTTGCTCGTTGAATAAAACCTCAACGTACGGTCGAGAACTGTTCAATAATATACATATGATCTCTCATTTTGTGTGTGTTTTTTTGCACCATTTTTGCTTAAAACTAGATATCGTAAACAATATTCAGATTCTTTCAAATTTTCAATTATTTTGTCGCAGATTCTTGAAAAAGGGCTTTCAAAAACACGTTAAGGTTGATAAGACAAAGGTTTAAAGGGTAAATTTTCCACCTTACAGTCGTAGGGTCTCTTGGCATTACGTCTACTAGGCTCTTTAACAAAACAAGTCTTGAAGAATTTTTGCATATTCATCATTCTTTACGATTACGATTACAATTACGATTAAGAAAGAATAATGTTGATCAACACATTGTTATTGAGTGCCAAAGTATTTCGAAGATACCTGTATAGCACTCTTTAATTTTAGAAACAGTACTTAAGCTTTCATAACTCAGCGAAATTTTACTGTAAGTTAATGCACGTTTCAAACCCTAAGCATTCAAGCTAACTCTCCAAGGTGTTCTAAGGAGAAATTAATAATAATTAATTATTAATAATGATTAATAATCATTTTTTATTCAAGTTATAAAAAACCTCCATAGGTTTTATCTTCTCTTATGTTTTCTTAATAATGTTTGCTTGCAGTTATATACTTGGCATTTTAACAAGAAAAAAACTGTTTAACTTTACAGCTATGGCGAATTCATTTACTTTGTCCAGGAGCATACATTTTTTATTTCTAGGGATGAGGGGGGGGGCTTAGTACCCTTTGAGGCCTGAAAACCCCCTTGGAAACTATAGATTCTACTCTGATACAGAGGT